AGGTCCTTGGGGCTGATCTCTACCCGCTTGAGCCCGTCCGCTCTGCCACGGTACTTGGGGTCGTCACTGACACCCAACATGGCAATCAGGTGGACCTCCGCCTTGCCGAAGAACTCGCGCACTGCCTCATCAGGCCTCGCGCCTGGAGTGGGCAGGGGCGCCTGCCAGACGATGTCCTGGGCGTCTTCCGCCGCCTTCTGCTGGTCCTCCTCCGAGATGTGCGTCGACAGGTCGAATCTCTTGGGGCCCCGCAAGACCCAGACCTTGGCTTGGGCCCCCAGCTTGCTGAAGGTAAGCCGCACTGGAGCGTGGGGCTGTGTAGTCGTTGGCCGAAGCACTTCTGCCGTTGGGCTCAGAGCCGCGAGGGAGGCCGATATCACGAAGTAGTCGTATACTCGATCATTCCCCGAGGTCACCGAGCAGGTGGGAAGCTTGGGCGCCACAACAGCACCACCCACAGAGCGCGGCCACCAGGAGCTCTCCAACAGCTGCGGCTCCATGTTCCAGTCCGCTGCCACTACAAAAGGCTCGCATTGAGAGTTGAGGAAAACCTGCAGCTCGCTCAGCAGCTCCACGTTAGTGCCCGTCATCTTGGCGGAGTGCTCCAGGTAGGCGCTGACCACAATCACCATCAAGTCCCCGAATACCACCCTACGAGCGAGGAGCCGCGAGCTGAAAGGACCCCAGTCATGGTCCACAGGTGCGGATCCACGGTGTGCCGCCACAAGACAGCCAACCCCAGATGACACCGACTGGGCCGAGATCCCCGTTCTCCTGCATGGGCTGAAGGAAGCGTTGAGGCCGTTGCGAGTGCCCCATCCGACGGCCTCGCTCTCCTTCTCCTTCCCCGTGAAGCGCGTCTCCTGGATAGGGTAGACGTCGTCCTTCAAGCCAGAGTCCGAGAGGCGCTCTAGCTCCGTCTGCGCCTCCTTCCAGGTCGTGCCATTCAGCGAGGTGAAGGACGCTGGACTGGCCACAGGCGGCGCCACCAGCTTGGCCAGGCAGAGCGTAGGCAGCCCCTCTCGCTGTGACAGGACGCCCCCCTTGGTGTTCAGAGGCTCGGGGACAGTCAGGAGGCCCAGGGTGTCCACCGTGACTTTGGTGTTGAGTTGGCTTCTTGATTGCCAGCTTAGACTGTCTGCAACACCACCGACACTCTCGACAGGCGAGGGTCTTGATCCAGCGGATGGGGGCAGAGCCTGGCCCGAGCTCGAGGAGCACTCGGGACCAGGTCTTGAACTGCGTCCACGTGTTTGTCCAGCAGGTGGCGACTGGGGCAGACTGGCGGCACGGGGTGGTCGCCCACCACGACCCCCTATGAAGCCAAGGGCGGTGTCCAACAGGCTCACGCCCCCCCGCGCCACCAGGCCGTGCGATCTAACGCCCTGCGATCTAACGCCATCAGGGATGCGTTCTAACTCAACTGTACCCGAAGCCGAAGAGACTCCCTTTGCTGACCAGGGCGATCCAAGGCTGGCTTGCTCCACGTTCAGGTTGGCTTGGCTGGGCGAGACACTGCCGCCAGGAAGCTGCCGCGAGGGCGCGTGCGACAGCATGACCAGCTTCGCCGTCATGTTGTCGACGTAGTCCATCGCCTGGTCGTCATCGGGGCCTGGCCGACGAAGAGGGTCAGGCGCCACTCCCCCATCAGGCCCCTGAGGCGGCACTGGGTCTCCAGGAGCTCTGTCGCCAAGGAGTCGACGAAACGTGGCCCTGATCTGCGCCAGGTGCCTCCAGTGCGTGTGCTCGAGTCGCCACCGATCCAGAGGCTGGGCTCTGTTGGGCCTGTCCAGGAAGGCGATGCGGCGGGGCTCCGACTGCCTCCAGCCGCTGAGGCACAGCTCGTCCAGGATGTTGTCCAAGTCCCAGCCTGGAAACCAGCTCCTCAGCAGGCGCCTGAGCGGCTCGTCCCCGCCGTCCGCGAGCATCGCGCCCAGCAAAGCCTTGCACCAGCGCCTCCAGTGCCCGCTGTCGGTCTCCAGCTCAGTGTGAGAGTCAAACCAGGCGGCAGCCCAGTCCCTGAGGTCCGCCCTCATGTCCGCGAAGTCCTGGATGGCCTGCTGCCGAGCAGGATCTGCAACATCAGGTGGAAGCCCCATAGCCTCGGGCCTCTGCCCCATGGGCTCAGGCACGACGGCCCCGGGCTCGGCGTGCAGCTGCTTGCAGTACTGCCTTCCTATCATCGATGTGCCCTCGTCTGGACGATCATGGGCAGGGACCCATAACCCCCCGACCTGAGGCCAGTCGAGGTCCACGGTCTTGTTGCTCCAGAAACGGTCAGCTGGTCGAAGAGATCCAGCTGCCTCGGCCAAGGGCGTCCGCCGATCACACTCAGCCACCACGTAAAAGGGGTCTGCCCCCTCAGGCAGAATCCGCCTGAGGGGGCGGAGGGCGACAAATCCTGGCCGCTCTCTGCTCGAAGTTGTGGCTGGTTGACTCCTCCTCCTTGGGCGACTGCGTGGCTGCGGAGGGAGGCGACGGCGCCGTCGCGTCGGCGTCCGCTGCCTCGCCGTCCTTGCCTCTCGGAGCTGATCCTGCGGCGGCCGCCCCTGCTGGGCCAGGGTCCTCAGGGCCTGGGCCCTGTCGCCGCCTCTTGCCAGCCAGCCGTAGTGCCATGGCCTCCTGCTCTTCCTTGAAGAGCTTGGCCTTCTCAGCCGCCTGCCCGAACATTTGCTTGACTGCGTTGGACAGCTCACTCTTGAGGCGGGCGCTGCGATCTGCCAGCTCCTTCTTGTCATTTGCATCCATCTCATATTCAGCGTCGAACCCAAGGCCAGCAAACGAGAGAGGAATCTCCTCGATGGAGCCGTCCAAGATGCCAGCCACGCTGATGGGGGCAACTGCAGGAGTTGAACCCTGGCTGATGTCGACCACATGACGATTGAGCTCCACCACCAGCTTGCGGTGCTCAGCCTTCTTCGACGCCATGTCCCCGCAAAGAGATTGGACCCACCGCCGCTGGCTCTCGAGGCCCTCCTCGAGCCGCTCGAAGTGCAACACCGCCTTCTCCAGCTTCTGCGCGACGTCCTGCACCTGCTTGTGGGCCTGAGTGACCCTCTGCGACAACGGCGGCACGTAGAGCGCCTCCTGCTGGAGTCGGCGCCGCTCTTGAAGGGTGCGCCTGTGCTTCGCGAGGCTGACCGTGTCTCCCAGCTTCTCCAACGTGGCCACCAGCTGCTCCAGCTCGTGGAACTCGAGCTCCACCGAGGGGCCATCCTGGGCCACCAGGAACTGTGCACCAGGTGCCCGAGGAAGCTTGGCTGGATCGCCACCTGCACCTCCGTCACCACGGCCACCTGTTCCACCTTTGCCGCCGTCACCTTTGCCCGTGTCCTTGCCTTTCTTGCCCTTCTTGCCACCTTTGCCGTCCTTGCCATCGCCATCTCCGTGCTGTTGCCCGCGCTGCTCGCTCCAGACACCAGCGGGTTCAGCAGCGACGGCTGGGCTGATGTCCGAGAGCTTGTGGCCGCAGGCCTTGCAGAACTTGCTGCCCTTGGTGTTCTTCTTGCAGCCGCACTTGCTGCACAAAGGCCCTCGTCCAGCTTGCCCCACCTGGTGCCAGCCCTCGAGGTCGTCGTCAGAGCCGATGTCGCGCCAGGCCTGCCACTGCTGCTTCTGTTGTACCCCCCAGGGTGGGGACACGGTCTTGGTCGGCAGCTTCCACCACGGAGGTCGCACGGCCGCCGGAGGTCGCACGGCCGCAGGAGCAGGAGCCATGGGGCGAGTACCAGGAGGAGAATCCTGGACGTCGTTGCAGGGTACGGTGCTCCTCACGGGAGCTGCTCCGACAGGAGCTCACACAAGTATGTCTGCCGCCAGCACCTGGCCGCAGGATCGCGGGCGGGGGCGCGCCTCCCCCACGCCAGGTGACTTCAAGCCCTTGTGCCAGAAAAGGCTTGAGCCAAAATGGCTACGGACGGTGGGGGCATTGGATAAGGAAGCGTTGGATAAGGAATCAGATCCAGGGTCTGGAGGCCAGTGGAACTCCAATCGAGGCTCGGCCATGGGTATCACCGCCGCCCTCCTTGGATAAGGAACCCTCCAGCGTCTGACGCCTCCTGGGCACATTCCTTAACCAACGCCCCCACCGTATTGGCTCCTGACACCGCGAAATATCGTTCCACCTTGCACGACCGGCCGTCTGCGGCACGTCGGCTCGTTCAACATCGACCGATCCTGGGTCGGCGGCGGCCTTCCACGTGGGCAACGCCGGCGGCGGGGACGCCGCCGGTCGACACGACGCGAGCCTACCCCGTGCGCCCCGAACCAGGGGGCCAGCGCCGCCTGCGATGGCGACGGGGCGCACCGACTACGCGGAGTTCTGGGCAGCGGGGCCCGCCGCTGATCCGCGCGCCTGATATCCATGTTGGCGCTGCCTCGAGACCAGGTGACCAGGGATTGATGCCTCCCTCTCTGGGCCAGTCCCCCCCTGTCGCGGCCCATGACGAAGGGGGCTTTCGCACCCCAGCTCGTGCGGCCTGTCTGCCTGGCGCATCCCAGCGCCGGAGGCGCCCATGCGTCAAGGAGAGTGCCTGGGCGGCGGAGCCCGCAACCAGCTGCGTGCAGCAATTGTCGTACCCCCCTTTGCCAAATGCTCCCTTCTCGTCCAAATCAAACTCCGCCGCCGTTGCCGACGCCGGCGTGGTAGTCGGCATCGGTGTCACCGCCGCCGTCGTCGTCACCGCCACCAGAGTCGCAGTCGCAGTCGCAGTCGCGTTGGCAGTGGCAGTGGCAGTGGCAGTGGCAGTCGTCGTCGTCGTCATCGTCGTCATCGTCGTCGTCATCATCGTCGTCGTCATCGTCGTCTTCGTCGTCGTCGGCGTCGGCGTCGGCGTCGGCGGCGTCGTCCTCGTTGTCGTCGTCGTCGTCGTCGTCGTCGTCGTCGTCGTCGTCGTCGGCATCGTCGCCGTCGTCGACGGCGGCGTCGACGGCGGCGTCGGCGTCGTCGTCAGCGCCGGCGACGCGTCGCTGCGCAGGGGGCGCGCGGGGGGCGGCGGGGCCTGGTGGGCCTCCGCGTCCGACGCGCCCAGCCTGAGCGCGCCGGGGGGGTCGGGCCTGCAGCGGAGGCCAGTCCACAGGAAAACTTCCACGAGGAACCCAGCCCTGGGACCCCAGGACGCCCATTGAGTTTCGGCGTGGGAACGTCACGCCCTCCATCGCGAAACCATCGAAGCCCAAGGAACCCAGGGCACGCACCCTGGAGGCAAGCGGTGTGCTTCTTGGCACGGGTCTCCACTTGGGCACGGCTGGCTTCTGGCGCGCGGCCTGCGTGGTCGCTGTGTGCGCTGCGCGGGCCAAGCTGGTGCGCGCAGGGGGTCCTTGCGTGGTGCGGCGCGCCGAGCCTGTGCGCGCAGGGGGTTCGGGCGACGCGCAGGAATGGCTCTGTGGGCAAGCTTGGTCTCTGGTGAGCGGCCAGCGGGTCGTTCTGCTGTGCGGCAGGCCCGGGCCGAATCGAATCGCGAAGTCGGATCTGTTGATGCTGCTGCTGATGGTGATGCTGATGATGCTGCTGCCGCTGATGTTGATTAAGCCTTTGTTGATGATGGGGAGGATGATGAGGATCATCCGCGGACCATATCGGCCTGTGTGAGGGGCTTCTCCTTTCGCGTCGTGCTTTCTTTCCTGCTCGACTTTCTATCCAGCTTCCACTCACCGTTCTCCCGCCCTCCGTCAGCAGAGTCCTCTTCTTTGCACATGCCGTGCCAAGCAATTGATTGAACGTCTTCAACACTTCGAAGGGAAGCCCCTTCCCATTTCCCTTCCCCGGTGCGGGGGAAGGGGGGGGGGGGGGCGGGTCCGGACCTGAGGAGTCCCAGGGGGGTCCCGGGGGGGTCCGGGGAGGTCCCGGGGGTGTCCCGGGAGGGCCCCCCCCCCCACAGATCCGACTCCCCCGGCAGCTTCGAGAAAGGCCAGGAGGGCGTCCCGAGGAGGTTCTCGTCCTCTCCTCCTCCTCCCTCCTCCTTCTCTTCCTCCTCTCCTGTACTCCTCCCACTCCTACTTTCTCATCATCTTAATCATCCATCATCATCTATCAGCATCATCATTCATCATCATCATCATCATTCATCATCATCATCTCATCATATCATCATCATAATCATCATCATCATCTCATCAATCATCATTCCTCATCACATCATCATCAGCATCATCATCATCAGCATCCTCATCATCATCATCCTCATCATCCTCATCCTCATCCTCATCCTCCTCATCATCATCATCATCATCATCATCATCATCATCATCATCATCATCATCATCATCATCCTTGTCCTCTTCTCCTACTCCTGCTCCTTCTCACCTCCTCCACCTCCTCATTCTCCTCCTCCTCCTCCTCCCCCTCCACCTTCTCCTCTCCTGCGAATCCTCCCGCTCCTCCGCCTCCTCCTCATCCTCCCTCCTCCCCGTCCTCCTCTTCGTTCTCGTGCTCATCCCTGTCCTCCTCCTCCTCCTCCTCTTCTTCTTCCTCTTCCTCCTCCTCCTCCTCCTCCTCCTCCTTCGCTTCCTCCTCCCCATCCTAGCCCCGTCGATCAGGGTCGACGGCACCGGCCGTCAGGCCTCTCCAATAAGATTGACGATGATATGATGATGATGATGATGATGATGATGATGATGATGATGATGATGAGGATGATGAGGATGATGAGGATGATGAGGATGAGGATGACGATGTTGATGATGATAATGATGATGATTACGATGATGATGATGATTCTGATGATGATGTTGATGATGATGATGATGATGATGATGATGATGATGATGATGATGATGATGAGGGGGAGGAGGAGAAGGGGGGGAAGAGGACAGCGATCAAGGGGAGAGGGAATGCGAGGGGAGACAGGGTTGCTGTCGGTACGATCCGATCCAATCCCAAACGTCCGACTTCGGTTTCGATCAAGCCCGATCCGGCACAACCGATTCCATCTCGGGCTCGCAGGGGCCGAACCATCATCACCATCATAATCGTAATCATCATCATCACCATCATCAGCATCATAATCATCAGCATCATCATCACCATCATCACCATCATCAGAATCCGCCTCATCCATATCACCATCCTTATCATCCTCATCATCCTCCTCCTCCTCATCATCATCATCAGCAGCATCACCATCCGCATCATCAGCAGCAGCATCAGCATCATCACCATCACCACCACCATCATCATAATCAGCAGCAGCAATAGCATCATCACCAGCATCTTCATCATCGTCATCGGCATCATCAGCATCGTTAGCAGTATCAGCATCATCTGCAACATCAGCTGCTCCCCTTCCCTCCCTACATCGGGGTGGCAGAGATGTGCTTCTCCACAAGTACCCCTCTGTACAGTCATCGTGTTGCCGTCGAGGAGCGCCGAATGAGGAACGAAAGGAAATGTCTGACCACAGCAAGGCCCGGCAACGAACAGGCTTCTTGACCCGGGTGCAGCGGGTGGCTCGAAAACGGGAGCCCCTGCTCAGTCCAGAGCGGTCCGTGCTTTGGCCCTGCGCTTAGCTGCCCCGGTACGCAACACGCAACACGTGGCGTATTGATACGGAGCTCAACACGTAGACTGAGCACGTGGGTCCGACGCGATATGCGGGCAATACTTCTGTCCATATCCACTGCAGTAGGGAGTTTCGGGCTCCCTTCCCAAGAAACCCGAGGCGCACTGGATATGGACAAATTTGCCCCCTAGAGGCTCGATGTTTTATCCATATCCAGTGCGCCTCGACCTTGTGGCGCCGCTTCCAAAAAAGTCCAAGAGGCACTGGATATGGACAATAATCTTGCCCGCACGAAACACTCGCCAAAACGTGGGCCAATACGTGAAGCCAACACGCAACGTATTGACACGGACGTTCTGAACACGGCACGTGTTGCGTATCACAACGGGCGTACCGAGGCAGCTAAGGCCCTGCGTGCTTGGGCTTGCCCCCCCCCCGCCTCCGCCTCCGCCTCCGCCTCCGCCTCCTCCTCCTCCTCCTCCTCCTCCTCCTCCTCCTCCTCCTCCTCCTCCTCCTCCCCTCCCCTGCCCCTCCGCCTCCGCTCCATCCTCCAACTCCCTCCTCCTCCTCCTCCTCCTCCTCCTCCTCCTCCTGCTCCCCCTCCTCTTACGCAGCGGGGGAGCGGGCCAGGCGCGACCCAGAGAGCCCCAAGCTTTGTCCGATCTCTTCCTGGACGAATACAAGACCTGCCCTCGGGGAGGAGACCTTGGCTCCTCTGGCCGACACCTGCCCCCCACAGGTGGAGAGGGATTCTGCCTCCTTCGGGCTTCGCAACATCTGCCCCCACCTAGAGCGGGTACGCTGGAAAAGCTAATTGAAGGGGAGGGATGATGCCCCCTTCGGGTTTCGCAACACCTGCCCCCACCCGGAGCGGGTACGTTGGAAGAGCTAACGGGTGGGGAGGGAGTCTGTCTCCTCCGGGATTCGCAACACCTGCCCCCACCTGGAGCGGGTACGCTGGACGAGCTACCTGCCCTGTCCAGGCCAGGGCTGGGATAGTTCTGGCGATGCTGAATGCTTGCCGTCGACCCTAACGGACGACAGGCATGTCCTTTTCCGTGCCGTCGCGGTCGGAAGTCCGAGGCGCGATCCCATGGATGCGCGATCCAATGTGTTTTGCCGAATTGAGGCCGGTGCGGCCCCAGATGTCGCGACGACCCCTTCCGCGGGGTTAGCTTCTCGTCCCAGATCAATCAATTGGAGGTCCCGGAGGACCTTTGGGCCGAGTGACGGGCCACCCGGAGGCCCAAATCGAAAAACATCAAAGCGCAAAACAACAACCAACACACAAATTAAACAAAACCTGCATTGAAAACGTCATATGGTTTGAGATCTGAGGGGGGTTGGGGGAACAGGCGGGCGTCTTGCAGCACCGCTCACGCATCCTCGTTTTACTCTAGTCTTCATACTTCTCATCCCCCTCTCTACCGTCCTCCTCCTCCTTCTCGCCCACCTTCTCCTCCTCCTCCTCCTCCTCCTCCTCCTCCTCCTCCTCCTCCTCTTTCTCATCCTTATCCTCATCCTCATCCTCATCCTCATTCACCATCCCCTCTATCCTCATGCCCCCCCTCGTCACTCCCTCCTCCACCCCCATTGGCCCTCCTTCCTTCCCCATCCTCCTTCTCCTCCTCCTCCTCATCCTGTTTCCTATTTACTGATGGTCTAAGGGATCAGCGATCGCGGCCACTATCCTCCTCCTCCTCCTCTTCCTCCTCCTCCTGCCCCTCCTCTTAGCCTCCTCCTCTTCCTGCGCCTCCTTCTCCTTCTCCTCCTCCTCCTCCTCCTCCTCCTCATCCCTCATCATCGCTCATCATCATCATCATCATCACATCATCATCATCAATCATCATCACTCAGCATCAGCATCATCATCATCATCATCATCATCATCATCATCATCATCATCATCATCATCCTCACCTCATCTCATCCCATCCTCATTCCTCATCCTCATCCTCATACCGCCTCCGATCCACCCCATTGTCCCTCCCTCCTTCCTGTCCTCCTCTCCTCCTCCTCCTCCTCTTCTTCCTCCTCCTCCTCCTCCTCCTCCTCCCCCCCTCCCTCTCCTCCCCCTCCTCCTCCTCCTCCTCCTCCTCCACCTCCTCCTCCTCCCTCCTCTGCCTCGAGAACGGGGCATTGTGGCGGACCTCGCCTTTCGAGTGGTATGTTCGTATGTTTTTCCTTGCGGGTAACGCATCACTACTCCTCGGTATTCTCCTCTTCTTTCTCCTCCTTCTCCTCCTCGTCCTCTTCCTTCTCCTCCTCCTCCTCCTGCTCCTCTTCCTCTTCCTCCTCCTCCTCCTCCTTCTCCTCCTCCTCCTCCTCCTCCCCACCTCCCGGATTGTTGTTGTGTTCTCGCCTCCGACCCCCGCCACCCAGGAGAGAACAAACAAAAAACAAAAACAAAAACAACACAAAAAAACAAAAGGGGGGCGACGGCGAAACAAAATATCCGACGTGGATTCATCTGCCCTCACCTATGGAAGGATTCCGATTGTAAGCCCCCACATTAAGGGTTCATAACGAAATCGTCCGCAGGAGGATTCCTATCGAAACCCTCCACAGAAGGATTGCTATTGAAATCCTCCACAGTTTGGTTCCTAGTGGGATCACCTACAGAAGGATTACAATTGACATGCTTCGAAAGAAAGAATCCCCCCGTTGACACTGCATTGGCATTGGTCCGGCAATGGTTGAGCATTGCGCTGGAATTGTGATTTGCAGTACGTGGGCATTGCGCAACACGGACTCCTACTGAAACCCTCCACATTTTGAAATCTTCCACAGAAGGATTCCATGCGAAGCTCTCCACTGAAGGATCCCTGTAATAATCACAGAAAGGATTTCCCCAATGGGCATTGCATTGGTATTGGGTTGGGACCGCTTTGGCATTGCACTAGCATTGCGTTGGCACTGCTTTGGCATTGCTCTTGCATTGCGGTGGCGAGTCCTAATTACTCCCTTCGCCGAAGGAGCTCTAATGGAACCCTCCACAAAAAAAAGGATTCCTATTGAAATCTAGCATAATGAATTGCCCCCATTGGCATTGCATTGGCATTGGATTGGGATCGCCATGGCATTGGTTTGCATTGCGTTGGCACTGCGTTGGCATTGCACTGGCGGGTCCGAATCGGACGCTCCACAGGAAAATTCGGATTAATCCACCTCATCAAGAAGGATGCCTAGTGACCCCCCCCCCCCACACACACACACACACACAAACACAATGAGGATTCAAATTGAAATCCTCCACAGAAGGATTGCATTCGAAGCCCTGCACAGAAGGATTCCTAGTGAATTCCTTCGAGCATGGGTTCGCAATGGCGTCATCCCAGAAGGATTCCCGTTGAAATACACAAGAGAGGATGCCCCCAATTAGCATTGGTTTAACATTGTGCTGGCATTGCGTTGGATGTGCGCGGGCATTGCGATTGCGAGTCCGAAGGCCTCCCTTCGCAGAAAGATTCGTAGTGCAACCCCCTGAAGAAGGATTCTCATTGAAATCCACCACAATGGATTGCCCCCAACGACATTGCGTTGGCATCGGTTTCGCGTCGCCTTGGCATTGATTTAGTATTGCGTTGGCACTGTTTGAGAATTGCGCTGGCATTGCGATGGCGAGTCTTGATGCCTCTCTTCGCAGAAGGGTTCCTATTGAAACCCTCCACAAAAAAAACGATTCTCATTGAAATCTATCACAAAGGATTGCCCCCATTGGCATTGGATCGGTGTCGCCTTGGCAGTGGTGTGGCATTGCGTTGGCAGTGCTTTAGCATTGCGCTGGCGAATCTTACTGCCTCCCTTCGCAGAAGGACTCCTATTGAAACCCTCCGCAATAAGGATTCCTCTTGAAATCTACCACAAAGGATCGCCCCCAGCGACATTGCATTGGCATCGGATTTGGGATCGCATTGACATTGCGCTGGCATTGCGTTGGCACTGATTTAGCATTGCGCTGGCGTTGCGCTGGCGAGTTCCAATACCTCCCATCGCAGAAGGATCCCTATTGCAACCCCCAGGAGGATTCTCATTGAAATCTACCTTAAAGGATCGCCCCCCCAGCCCACATCCGCCGACGGCATCACGAGCCTCAGACGAAGTTGCAATATCCAGCGTTCCTTTAACGATTCCATCATCTGATCCTCCTCCTCATCCTCCTCCTCCCCATCCTCCTCCTCCTCCTCCTCCTCCTCCTCCTCCTCCTCCTCCTCCTCCTCCTCAACAATTCCTTTTCCTTATACATCTTCTCCCTGTCGCACCCCGAGGCCAGTTTGTAGGGCGGGCCGGACGTTTCGCCTGAGACTTCCTCACCGTTCACGATTCTGAAGCTTAACAATTAGCAAAAGCTTCACAGATGGAGGGCGGGTCGTTTTCAAAATGTGGCTCTCACCTTAGCGCGGCACATTCGTTTCAAACATTTGCAAAAACTTCACGGATTGAAAGCGGGTGGATTTCAACATGTGGCTCTCGCCTTAGCACGGCGCACATTCATTTTGAACATCTGCAAGAGCTTCACGGATTGAAGGCGGGTCGTTTTCAAACTGTAGCTCTCGCCTTTGCGCGGCGCACATTCGTTCTAAACATTTGCAAGAGTTTCACGGATTGAGGGCGTTTCCTTTTCAAAATGTGCCTCTCGCCTTTAGCGCCGCGCACATTCGCTTACAACATTTGCAAAAGCTTCGCGGATTAAGGGCGGCTCATTTTCAAAATGTTGCTCTCGCCCCAGCGCCGCGCATATTCTTTTACACAAATTTGAAGCGTTTCACGGATCTCCATCATCAACGTACAAGAAAATGTGTGTTGAGGGGGATCAGGATTAGGCGGGTGCAGCAGTTACGTTGATTCTCTGTGCTGAAATCCTAGGAATGGCGTTCTGGCACGACTCAGGATGGTCAAGACGCAACAATCAGGTTGATCAGTGGCGTTGGAATCTCGAGAACAATATTTTGGCATGCTTCCGGGTCTTCAAACGGGTGTCTTCCAACGAGGCAGTTCCATCAATGGAAATGAACCGTTGTAGGGGCCTATGAAGAGGGAGCTTGGAGGGAGGGTGTACTCTTACATCATTGATGACTCTTGGGTTTACTCTGGTCCTCCTCCTCCTCCTCCTCTTCCTCCTATCCTCCTTCTCCTCCTTCCTTATGCACACAGGGCCTCAAGTGGAGGGGAGAGGATCGAGGATAGAGAAAGAGCAAGAGAAAGAGAGAGGAAGAGAGAGGGAAAGATGAGAGCAGAACGAACAAAACGAAAGAGGAAAGAGAAAGAGAGAGAGAGTGAGGAAAGAGAGAGACAAGAGAGCGGGATAGATAAGAGAGGGAACGAAACATCAGGAAAAAGAGGAAGACAACAATGGAAACGAACGAAATACCTCAGAACGTCCGAGGGTAACGAAAAAATGCCCCCCCGAGCATGGTCCTCGAAACTCCAACCCGATGCCACGTGGCACAGGGCTGGAACTTCGAAGACAATGCTCGGGGGGGCGATGATTGCTTGAAGGCTGTCGAAACCAGAAGGATAGAGAAAGAGAGACGGAGAGAGAAAGAGAGACGAAGAGAGTGGAGTAGATGACGAGAGAACGAACGAACGAAAGAAAGGAAAAAAGGAAAGGATAACGCAGCAAAGAAAAACATCAAACAATCATTCGAACAAGAAAGGCGGAGGAGCGTTTCACTCGATACGAACCATAGTAAAACGACGAGGTCCGCCACAATTCCCCGGCCTCTCTTCCTCCTCCTCCTCCTCCTCCTCCTCCTCCTCCTCTTCCAATTCCTCCTCCGCCTCCTCCTCCTCCTCCTCCTCCTCCTCCTCCTCCCTCTCCCCCTCCCCTCGCACTCCTCCAGCTCAGCCTCCTCCCTCCCCCCTCCTCCTGCCCCTCGCCCCGGCGACCGCCCCGGCGTCTCCTGCAGGCCGGCTGCTGCCCCGCCTCCCGCCGCGCGCCGGGCGGCAGGCCGCCCGGCGGCCGCGCCGCGGGCGGCCTCGGGAAGGGCGCCCGGCGGCACTCATCGGGAGCGACGGAGGGCGAGGTGAGGAGGAGGAGGGGGGGGGGGGGGGGGAGGAGGAGGAGCAAGCAGCAGGATCTTGGGAGAGCCCTCCTCATCTCCTCCTCCTCCTCATCCTCGTCCTCCCTCCTCCTCCTCCTCCCTTCCTCCTCTCTCCTCTCCTCCTCCTCCTCCTCTTCCCTTCCTCCTCCTCCCTCCTCCTCCTCCTCCTCCTCCTCCTCCTCACGCCTCCTCTCCTGCTCCTCCTCCTCCTCCTCCTCCTCCTCCTCCTCCTCCTCCTCGTGCTCCTCCTCCTCGTGCTCCTCCTCCTCCTCCTTCTCCTCCTCCTCCTCCTCCTCCTCGGGCTCTGGCGCGGGTCCGTCGCCGCCGCGCCCAGTTGGTGGCCGCGCGAAGCCGTCTTGCGAGCGGCGCGGTTGCTCAAGGTTGTCCGGCAAGAACGTGTAGCGACCGTAGCAAATGAGTTCGGACCTACGGCGTGGCAGCGCGATCAGCAGCCGATGGCGGCCTTCGCTGCTGCCAGGGTCGTGTGCTGGAATGCAAGAGTGTTGGGTCCGGGCCCTCGCGCATCATACTCTGCCTTGACCTTGTGATAGAGCTGAGAAGCCAAAATCTCAATTTGATGAAGCGGGCACGTGGATACTCCAGCTCAGGACCCGGCTCCCTACCCACACCGAGGCGAGTAATGAGGGGTGCGGGCGGCAAGTGACCACGAGGGAGAGCAAGAAGGTGAAGCAGGCGAGGACAAGAGAGGTAGGCAAAAACGCTGACTGTCGCTGTTGGCAGGGGGTGTGGGTTCACCCCCCCCCCCGCACCCCCCAAAACGGACCTCCTTCCCCCTCCCCGAAAAATTAGTGGGGGGGTTCAGATACCCCCCCCCAAGTGGAAAATTATTGGGGCGTCCAGATCCGCCCCCTGCCCGCAAGCGAGTGAATCGGGGTAATAACACCCCCCCACAGCAAGGGGGCAACAAAACGGCAACGGCGAAGACCGACAACGAAGGACGACGACGACGGACGACGACGATGACGACGACGGTGAGGATGGTGATGGCGATGCTGATGTCGATGACGATGACGATTACGATGATTGTGATGACGATGGCGGTGATTATGATGGCGAGGATGATGGTGGTGATGCTGTTCAAGCTGGCGATGATGATGATGATGATGATGATGA